ACAGTGTCCTAATTTAGAGGAAAATTTGTTTCATATATATCTCTTATACTTAACAAGTATTGTAGCCATTTATGCTGTTTGTAATGTATCATAAATACGTTACTATTCTGGGCTTGAAGTTTGAGGTACATAATCATCTGTTTAATCTTTCTCTGTCAAGGGGGTACTGATAATAGTTATCCCAAGAATGTAAAACTCTTTGACATTGGCTGGGCATGGTTGCTCACACCTCTAATCCCAGCACTTTAGGAGGCTGAGGCAGGTGAATCACTTGAGATCAGGAGTTTGAGACCAACCTGGCCAACATGGTGAAAGCCTGATTCCACTAATAATATAAAAATGAGTGGGACATGGTGACATGTACCTGTAACTCTTAACTACTCAGGAGACTGAGGCACAAGAATTGTTTGAACCCAGGAGGCAGAAGTTGCAGCAAGCCGAGATCATGCCACTGCACTTCAGCCTGGATGACTAAGTGAGATTCTGTCTGAAAAAGTAAACAAAAAATTTAAAAAATAAAATAAAACTCCTTGTCATAGACTTAACTATGTGACATTGTGATTTTTTTGCTAATTAAACTTTTTTTTTTTACTATAATAAAACTGATTTTTACTTAACTTTGTAGAGATAATACCAAATGTCTACATAGTTCTCTGCCTTACTGGTGAGTGAGTTTGGTTTTCCCTGTATTACCAGCTCAGGTATATCATACCCAAGACAAACCAAAATGACATTTTATCCCTTTTGTTTCTTATTTGCTATAGTAAAAATATTGGTGGTAGTTGCTCCTGGTGTTTCCGTAGGAATGATGCATGCATTATTGAACAAATACATTTAATTAGCATCTATGTGCAGGTTACTTGTTTTGGGTACGTTGAAGGTGCAAAGACATGGAAGACATGGTTCTTACTTATAAGTTACTTATTCTTTAGCTGAAGAGAAGCAGTATGTCTCCAAATGACTAGCAAGAAAGAATGATCACTTTTAGTTAGTCTGGTGATGACTTCATGGAGGAGGTGCAAGTTGAACTTGGTCTTAAAGGATGACTAGAATTCGGAATAACAGAGTTTTGTCAAATTGCAGAAATGACATGAGCAGGAAATAGAAATTATTTGAGGAACTGAGGAAGACTAGCCTGGTTGGTCTGCAGACATCATCAGTGAGAGATAAATTCAGGAAGATTACCATTTAGAAAAGGGCCATATCATGTAGGACCTCCTAAGACAAGGTGAAGAGTTTACAGTTTTAAAAATAAATAGGTAAGGAAAATGAGCTTCAGAGGTATTAAAGAACATGCATAAAGGCACATAGCTGAGATATTTTAGAATCAGGTTAAAAATCCAGCCTCTCTGATAGCCTCTGAGAAGTCTCAGCTTTAGTGCTCTCCTCTTATTAGGTATAGCATACCAGTGATTAGAAGTTATTTGACATAATGAGGTAGAATAGGCACTCTCATGGGTTATTAAGTTGGTTGAAGAATTGTAGAACTTTGTAAAGCTCCTAAACTTGCTTTTTAGAGTTTGTGAGTGTTTTTGAAACTCTCTGACTGTAATTACTCCTCACAGCTGTCTGTGGGCTGGAATAAAGCTGTATCCTGTTCCTACCAGTTTACTGAATGCAAAATGCTCATGGCAGCAGCAACAGAGCCTGGGTCCCAGCCTACTATAAGTGCCTATGGACAAGTCACTGAACCTCCTCAGTTTCTTCATCTGTAAAATAGGGATAATGGTAGTAACTTCTTCATAGAGCTGTAGTAGAAATTGAATGAGATTGTAAGTATACAGCTCAGGGTTTGGCACATGGTACCCAATCAGTGTTTAGCTGTTAGGAAACCAGCTTATATATTAAATTAGTAGAATATTTATGTTGGAAGAAATATTAGCAGTCACCTTTGCATTTTATAGATGAGGAAACTGCGGACTCAAATGAATGAATTAATTTGCCCAAACTCGTTGTTAGGTTTGAGAACATGATCCAGATTCCTCAGTTCTGCATCACATGTTTGAAATGTAAAACCATCTGCTCCTATAGAAAAACCAGCTCTCAGATTGGAAAGATGTAAAAGTCACCTGATCCCACTCCCTTGAGATATGCTATAAATGTGCTTAGTTAGAATGGCAACCACGATCAGAATAAATAAGCTCTGAGGGAGGCCTTCAGGGACTCTTCTGTTGGGGAAGGTACCTGATGACTGAAGGAAGAAGGTGGAGAAGTGTTTTCACATTGCCTCCCTGCTGCCTTCTAAACTGTTCAGAGCCCATCATTAAAAGAGAAGAGTTAGGTGGGGCTAGTGGGGAAGCCATAGGAAATATGTTATACTTTTAAGGTTCTAGAATGATTGTGTAGTAAAAGCCTAGCTACTTGGAAACCTCTGACAGATGTACCAAAATTTTATTAAAATATTAGTTTTCTTTCAGTTGGAAGTCATTCTAAATCATAGTCTAAGCAAATTTTCCCTTTATGATGATTTATGGTCATAATTATGAATAGGTAAGGTGCTTCCTGGAGTTAGATGTAAATGGATTCCGTAGCATATGATTTTAAGAAGTAGCTCATGTCAGCTTTTAAAAAATTACCTATTTTATTTTTAAAGATAGAGTATGATTTTAAGAGGTATCTCATGTCAGCTTTTTTTAAAATTACCTGTTTTATTTTTAAAGGTAGAGTGAATCAGATGTAGATACATGACTCCTTGCAGTGTCATGTGGTTCTTTTCAGCAAAATTAACTAGATCAAAGGTTTGACTGTTAACATTTTGTGTTAGAGATCAACAAAGGACTTATATCTAGAAATCATAGAGAGCTCTTACATCTCAATGACAAGAAAGCAAACCCCCCAAGGGAAAAAAAATGGGCAAGAGATTAGAACAGATACTTCACCAAAGAAGATATATGGATGGCAGGTAAGCACATGAAAAGATGCTCAGCATTATTAGTCATTAGGGAAACAGAAATGGAAATGGAAACCACAATGAGATACTAATTAATACAAATCTACTAGAATGGCTAAAATTAAAAAGATGGCCATATTGTGATTGGCAAGAAAGTGGAGCTGCTGAATTCTTATACCTGATGGTGGGAATGTAAAAGGTTCAATTGTTTAAAAACAGTTGAAGGCTGAGCACGGTGGCTCATGCCTGTAATCCTAGCACTTTGGGAGGCGAGGTGGACGGATCACAAGGTCAAGAGATCGAGACCATCCTAGCCAAGATGCTGACACCTGTCCCTACTAAAAATACAAAAATTAGCTGGATATGGTGCACATGCCTGTAGTCCCAGCTACTTGGGACGCTGAGGCAGGAGAATCGCTTGAACCCGGGAGGTGAAAGTTGCGGTGAGCTGAGATCGTGCCATTGCATTCCAGCCTTGCAGCAGAATGAGATTCTGTCTTCCTCTGAAAAAGTTATTAAGTTAAAGATATACCTTCTGTACCACTAGACCATTCCATTTCTTTATATTTACCCTAGAGAAACAAAAGCATATGCCCACACAAAGACTTGTACGTGAAAGTTCATGACTTGTCCTTAGGTTTCACTGTTTGGGAAATCAAGCAGATTAGGGATCTGAGTTTATGCTTCTTTAAAAACATGTAGGTAACTGAAATGAGGAAATGAATAACACAAGTGGTAGATTTTGCATGGGGCATTTCAAAATATGTAATCCATTCTTTTGCCTTAATTGGCCTTGATTCAGTATGCAGTATGCACTGGAGTCTCTTCAATGAAAAGACCTTTGATATCTCACCTTCAGAGAATTGGCTCTTTCTCTATGGACAGCTTTCAGGGCTCTCTTGACTCCTACCCACTCACATTTCCGGAAGTGTGAGTCTGGTGTTCTTGCTATATGGTGCATGTGGTGCCCTTTCAGTCATGTCTTTCCTTAGCTCTGAAAATGTTTGTCCTTTCTACTTTTTAAAAATGTTTTTTTACTTCTACAATTTCTATTAGGCGGATGTTGGTTCTCCTGGGTTAGATCAATCTTCTGTCTTTTAATTTTTCTTTCCTATTTTAAAGCGTGATCTTCCATTCTTTCTAACAACATTTGAAAAGTTCTACTTATAATCTCAAGAGCTCTTTCCCATTCTCTGGTCACTCAATTTTCATTTCGGTCTGCTCTTTTATTTTGCATTATTTTGAATCTTTTATGCATTATTTTGAATCTCTCTAAATAAAGAATTAGAAGATTATCTTGTTTCCTGGATTCCTGTTTCATCAGGGTCAGTTCTGTTTCATTAAATCTTAGAACATTTTTGGAAGCCACTATTAGTCCTCAAATGTCTGTTAGAGTTTGTTTCTTTTCATTCATATGTGTTAGTGAAAGATTGAGTTCCCAAATATAGACAGAGTTTCTCTGGCTGTGTGGAATATGTGTCCTTAGCAGGCCTCTTCCCTTTATATAGAAGAGGGCTGGAATGAGTTTCTGTGAGGTGGGATTCGACCCATGCTGAGTGCCTTGATGCAGGCAAGCCTCTGGGTAGGGGAGCAGGGTAGAAGGGGGCTAGAATGGGAAGCTGTTCTTCAGATGATTTTTTGGTTAATCATGTTGACGTCTGTTCTGCTTCCCATTCCAGGTCTGAAGACCTGCCAACTCTAGGTTTCTAGCTTCTTTGTGACTCTATTGTTAGAGTAACTGTGACCTTCTGGGTTTGTTTGGGATTGTGACTTTTGTCTATCATTATTTTGTCTATGCTTATACTCCTTTTTTTTTCAGCACTGTTATGAATTTATTTTCTTTTGAAACTGGTTGTTGCCATTTTCATAGGGCTTAGAGAAGATTAAACAAACTTGTATCCTTGTCTGCTGTAATCACCCAGAAGGCTGAATATTTAAAAAAAATAGCTTTATTGAGATATAATTTGTGAACTATACAATTCACCCATTTAATGTGTAAAATGCAGTGGGTTTTTAGTACATTTACAGAACTGCATATCATCCATCACCACAGGCAACTTTAGAACATTTTCATCATCTTAAAAAGAAAAGACTTGTTGGTGTCTCCTACCTGTATTACCAGCTGTTTGGGAGGCTGAGGTGGGAGGATTGTTTGAGCCCAGGAGTACAAGTCCAGTCTGGGTAACATAATGAGACCTTGTCTTGAGCAAAAGAAAAGAAAAGACAGGAAAAGAGAGGAAGGGAGAGAGAGAGAGAGAGAAGGAAAGAAAGAATGAACTACACCTACTTGCTGTCACTCCAGGCAACCACTAATTTGCTTTTTATCTCTAGAGATTTTCTTATTCTGGACACTTCATATAAATGGAATCATTGTTATGACTAGTTTTGCTGTAATATTTACCACTAATTTTTGTATGTAGTAATAGTCAATTACATGGATAGGACACATTTTGTCTGTTCACCATATGAGGGATATTTGGTATATTAGTCTGTTCTCATGCTACTAATAAAGACACACCTGAGACTGGGTAATTTATAAAGGAAAGATGTTTAATGGAATCACAGTTCCACATGGCTGGGGAGGCCTCACAATCATGGTGGAAGAGGAAGGAAAAGCAAAGGGATGTTTTACATGGCAGCAGGCAAGAGAGAACTTGTGCAGGGGAATTCCCATTTATAAAACCATCAGATCTCCTGAGACTTATTCACTATCACAAGAACAGTATGTAAGAAACTGCCCCCATGATTCAATTATCTCTGCCTGGCCTCACCCTTGACATGGGGATTATTACAACTCCTGGTGAGATTTGGGTGGGGACACAGCCAAACCATATTATTTATGTTGCTTTTCCTTTTTGGCTTGTATAAATAATGCTGTTAGGAGAACTGATATACAAGTTTTTTAGTGGATGTATGTTTTCATTTCTCTTGGCTATATAGGTAGAAGTGGAATTGCTGAGTCAAATGGCAATTCTACATTCAACCTTTTGAGGAACTTCTAAATTATTTTCCACAACAGTTGTACGATTTTACATTTCCACCAGTAGTGTATGAGGGTGTAATCTTGTGAAATATGTGTTTGGTTTTTGTCCCCATTTCCTGGCACACACTTCCTAAAATCCTTAGAATGCCCACCATGATGTCTTCTTATGTGCTCATTTGTTGACTGATGGTTGTCAGCCCCTAGGTAGCTTCAGGATAGGGCTGGTCACTAGAAGGATACAGCAGATTTGGAGGGTCAGGACTTTCTCCTAAGTGTGTTCAGGGAAACTAAGCAGCATTGTGGCATCCCAGAACCCCCAGGTCAGTGGCTAAACAGCACGAGTAAGCAGCCTCCTGGGAGGAAAGAAGGGCTGAAGTTTAAGTTGACCAGTGATTTAGTCAGTCATTCCTGTGTGATGAAGCCTCCATAAAAATCTGAAAGAGCCAGGTGCAGTGGCTTATGTCTGTAATCTCAGCACTTTGGGAGGCCAACGTGGGCAGATCATGAGGTCACAAGTTTGAGACCTTCCTGGCCAACATGGTGAAACCCCGACTCTACTAAAAATATAAAAATTACAGGCATGCACCTGTAATCCCAGCTACTCAGGAGGCTGAGGCAGGAGAATTGCTTGAACCCTGGAGGCAGAGGTTGTAGTGAGCTGAGGTGATGCTACTGCACCCTAGTCTGGGCAATAGAGTGACACTCCATCTCAGATAAAAATAAATAAATAAAATTTAAAACCCTGAAAGGACAGAGTCTGAGAACTTTTGATTAGCTAAACACATGGAAGTCTCTGGAGGGTGGCATGCCTGGGTAGGGCTTGGAAGTTCTGTGCCCCTTTTCCCATACTTACCCTATGCATCTCTTCATCAGCATCCTTAGTTACACCCTTTTTAATAAACCGGTAAATATAAGTAAATGTTTCCTTGAGTTCTGTGAGGCACTCCAGCTAATTAACTGAACCCATGGAAGGGGTTGTGCGGTCTGTGATTTAGAGTCTGTCAGAAGCACAAATAAAACAACTTGGGGCTTTAAACTGGCATCTAAAGTGGCAGGGGTGAGGTGGGGTTAGGGCATACGGTTAGGGATGGGGCAGAGGGTTGAGCCCTCAACCTGTTGGATCTGATGCCATATCTGGGTAGATAGTATTGGAATCGAATTGCATTAGAGGACAGCTAGCTGGTATCCTCTGTAGGACTGATTGCTTGTTTGGTCTGTGGAGAAAATCTCCTATACATTGTGGTGTGAGAGCAGAGGAAAAACTGCTTGATTGTCTGTGTGTTTTTTCTTACTTAGAGGGTTCTAGTTTCTCTACACTCTTGCCAACACTTGTTATTCTCTGTCTTTTTAAATTCTAATTATCCTAGGATATATGAAGTAGTATCTCATTGTAGTTTTGTATTGCGTTTTTGAAATGACTAATGACATTGAGCATCTTTTCATGTGCTTATTGGCTTATTGTACAGGTTAAGTATCCCATCATGCCTAGGACTGGAAGGATTTCAGATTTTGGATTTTTTTTTATTTTGTTGAATTTTGGAATATTTTCATATATATAATGAGATATCTTAAGGATAAGACCCAAGCTAAACATGAAATTCATTTATGTTTCATATATACCTTATACACAGTTGAAGATAATTTTATACAATATTTTAAATAATTTTATGCATGAAACAAAGTTTGTGTACAGTGAATAGTCAGAATGCAAAGGTCACTATCTCTGCCACCCATGTGGACAGTCTGTGGTTGTGTGGCATCATCGTCATTCTTGACTCTGAATTTATATGCTTCTAAGAAGCAATCATTTTCTAACACTGATTCACACATACGTGTTTAACAGTAAAAACTAATAAAACAAATCATCAGTACAGTGAAAACATAAATGTGTTCAGCGTAACTAAGCAGTACAGTATACCTGTAACCAGAATACCTGTGTTACAGGAGGAACCAACAATGGTAGGCTTTTCGTCTGCATCTGCCATGCTGTGTTTTGATTAAAAGCACATTGTATCACTTCTAAAATGAGGTTATAGAAAAGAAAGAAAAATAAGAAATATAAGAATTCACTGTGCACAGTTTTATTTTTTAGTTGAGAAGAAATATCAGTAGCAATTGAAGGACCTGGAAGTGAGTCCTCTAGGGATGAGGAGGCATTCTGCTGAATGACTTTTTAAATGCGTCCTCCAGTCATCCTCTAACCATGGTTTTTGACTTCGACTTCTCTCTTGAGTTTTATAAACTGGCATGGTTTCTTGTTCTATTACAAACATACCCTGGTGTAGTCCTTGAATAAACCCATCACACGTTTTCATCATATTGTCTATGAGCACTTTTTTGCAGTGTTAATTAATGTCATTGTCCACTCGTGGTGTTATATTGGCACTCAAACGTTTCAGATTTGGAGCATTTTGGATTGATTTTTGGTTAGGGATGCTCAAACTGTATATCTTTGGAGAAATGTCTACTAAGATTCTTTGCCCATTTTTAAACATTTAAAAAAAGTATTAGAGAATTTTTATTTTGTTTAGTTGTATATATACTTTTAGAAACAGTTGCCTGGAAGTGTGGTATAGCACAATCATAGCTCACTGCAGCCTCGAACTCCTGGGCTCAAGTGATACTCCCACCTCAGCCTCTTGAGTAGCTGAGATTACAGATGTGCAGCACCATGCCCACTGACTTTTGTATTTTTAAATTTTTTGTAGAGATGAGTTTAGCTGTGCTTCCCCAGCTGGTCTCAACTCCTGGCCTCAAGTGATTCTCCCACAGCACCCAGCTGTGATTTTTTTAGTTGGCTTATTTGTCTGTTTAAGATTGAGTTGAAAGAGCTCTTTATATAGTCTGTATACAAGCCCCTTATTAATTACATGACTGCAGATGCTTTCTTCCATTGTGTTCATTATGTTTTCACTTCCTTATTAGTCATCATTTATAGTACAAAAGTTTTTAATCTTGAAGTCCTGTTATATATTTCTTATTTTGTTGCTTGTATTTTCTATCTCATGTCTAAGAAACATTGCCCAACTCAAGTGAAGAAGATTTACTGTTGTATTTTCTTCTGTTTTTTTTTTTTTTCTTTCTTTCTTTTTTTTGCCTTGGAGAACTTGGAATTAATTTTCTTCTATGTTTCATAGTTGTAGCTCTTAACTTTATGCCTGTGATCCATTTTGAGTTATTTTTTGTTTATAGTGTAAAGAAGAAGCTGAATGATTTTGAATGGCAGATAGTCTGTGTTAGGTGAATGTTGAGCACCTGCTTTGAGTGGACACCTCACCATACACAAAGAATTCCTGGAGAGCAGGATGCAAAAAAAGTAGCATGGCAGCTTAGCCCTACTCATGCCTGTTCAAATCTTTGCATCAGGCTGCAGGACCCAGGAAAGCTGTGAGTCGTTGTTTTAGGAAAAACGTGGGCTGTGATAGAAAACCACAAATAAACAAGGGAAGAAATGACAAATCCACTAATTCTAAGGTTTTCTGTTGAGTTATTTTCTGTTTTTCACCACGGGTAGAAGTTGGTTTATAATTTTCTGGCTAACCCTTTAGTAAATCTTCTATGTTTGGCAATTTTTATTTCTTTTGCTCCTTCCTTTCCACTCCCCAGCCTCCTTCCCACCCATTATGGAAATCAGCAAAGTGATTTTACAGTATAATGACAAGTATGTGTTAGACTTCCTCACTATTCCTTGGCCCTTATAAAATGGACCATATGTTCTCCATTATTTTAGCTATACCACAACTTCTGCTTGATAGGTAGTAGGTTTTAGTGGTCTGTTTTGACTTGGCAAAGTGGGCCGGGAAATGACTATAACTTTCTCTTTGGCTAGGGTTTTTGGTATATAAGTCAGAGCTTCCATCTTATTCCACACTGGCCCGTGTATCTGTAGAATGAGCTGTATACTGGTAGTCTTAATTACTTCACTGGAATTGGTGTTTTATATACTAAGATAACTGAGAAGTGTTGCAGAAATCAACCTGGAGGTCATGTTGAAAAGCTTATTTCTACTGTCTGTTCAGTGTAGCATTTTATTTTTGCCTACATTTATTTTGCCTAAGAGATCCATTTTTTTAAGATTGGTGTATATATATATATATATATTTTACAAATTTGTGTTCAGCCACATTCAAAGCTGTCCTAGGCTGCATGTGACCCATGAGCTGTGGGTTGCACAAGCTTGTTCTAAGCTCGGACAAGGTAGCTCTATCCTAAAGCTACCTAAGGGTTGCCAGGCATCAGTTAATTGATTAGCATATAAAAAGACATACCACTTTAAAAATCCCAGAGATTTTGAGAGGAAGCTCAGAGGGAAGACCAAATACAGTCGTGTGCCACGTAATGACATTTGGGTCAGCAATAACTGTATATAGGACCACATATATTTTTATATAATATAGAATGTATATAGTTATGTAATGCATATATTTAAAGTAGCTGTTGAAAAGCTGAGGAGCAGGATTTGACTTTTTTGAGAGTAAGATCAGATCAGCTTTGGGACAACAGTGGACATCACATCTTATACTGTGAAATATATATAGCCATGTGTCACTTAATGAAAGGAACACATTCTGAGAAATATGTAGTGAAGTGATTTCATCTTTGTGCAAACATCACAGAGTGTACTAATGCAAACCTAGATAGTATACCTGCTGCACACCTAGGTCATATGGTTTAGCCTGTTTCTTCTAGGCCATGAACCTATACAGCATATTCCTGTATTGAATACTGTAGGCAGTTGTAACAGAGTAGTCTTCATGTATGGAAACTTAGAAAAGGTACAGTAAAAATATGATATAATCTTATGGGATCACCGTCCTACATGTGCTCATTGTTGACGCAAATGTCATTACATGGCACATGACTATATTTGGTCTTCCCTCTGAGTTTCCTCTTAAAATCTCTGGGATTTTCAAAGTGGTATGTCTTTTTGTATGCTAATGAATTAACTGATGCCTGGCAACCCTTAAGTAGCTTTAGGTTGGGGCTACCTTGTCCAAGCTTAGAGCAAGCTTGTGCAACCCCCGGCTCATGGGCCATATGCAGCCCAGGATGCCTTTGAATGTGGCCCAACACAAATTTGTAAACTTTCTTGAAACTTAAAATTATAAGTTTTTTTTTAAAGCTCATCAGCTGTTGTTAGTGTATTTTATGTGTGGCCCAAGACAATCCTTCCAGTGTGGCCCAGGGAAGCCAAAAGTTTGGACACCTTGGATTAGAAGGTTGAGACTTTCAGTCCTATCCCCTAACCTCTGGGGATGGGAGAGGGTAAAGGTTAAGGGGATAGCCAATAACCAATGATTGAGTGAATCATGCCTACTAATGAGGCCTCTATAAAAACCCAAAAGGATAGGCTTTGCAGAGCTCCTAGAAAGATGCACATATGGCAGTTCCGGGAGGGTGGTGTGTCCAGAGAGGGCATGGAACTCTCTGCCTCTTCTCACATGCCTTGCCTCGTGCATCACTTTATCTGTGTCCTTTGTAATAGCCTTTATCAAAAGCTGGTAAGCATAAGTGGTTCCTTGTGTGCTGTGAGCTGATTTAACAGATTAATCAAACCCAACAAGAGGGTTGTGGGAACCCTGATTTGTAGCCAGTCAGAAACACGGGTGTAACAATCTTCAGCTTTAGATGGGCATCTGAAGGGAAGGGGCAGTCTTAGGGACTGAGCCCCCAACCTGGGGGATCTAATGCTATCTCCCGTTAGATAGTGTTGCAGTTGAATTGAATTAGGGACACCCAAGTGTGGTGTCTTCTACAGAAGTAATTGCTTGCCTAGTTTGTGGAGAAAAATTTGACACAGAAGTCTTCTGTGTAGACTGAGTGAGAGAATAGGAAAAACACTTTGGGTTAGTTTATTCCTGTATTCTCAGAACGTCATAATTACAACTGAGAGCTTTAATCTCCACAGACTTGCTGTACCAGATGTAACTGAGGTCAAACTTTTTCATGTGCTTATTAGCCATTTATGATTCATTTTGAAAGGTTTCCTGTTTACAAGTTTTATATTGGAGAGCTAGTCTTTTATAGACTTATAGAACTCTCTGTGTGCCATTAGGATGTGGTAGAGTAAACGTGAGTCCTTGAGATGTTGCAGAATCCCTGAACAAACAGTTTTTCATTGTGACGTATATGAACTGCCTCACCAAGTATGTTTTTAGCAGTCTTTCTTCATGGATCCTTGATTAAACTGTCTAATCTCCAGTTTTATTTTTAGGTTGGAGGTATCTTTTCCCTTTTATAAAGCAGAAGTGACATACTGGCATTTTAAACTCATGTTTTATTTGGTATAACCAATATTTTATTTTAAAAATTGAGCTAAATTTTAAAAGTTGGGAGATTTCATATAAAAATCCAGACTTTAACTTTCTTTTAATGAATTGCAGAAATGCAACACTGAGTGTGCATTAGCACTGACACGAAATAGTGCTGGTGCCTTCAGCACACAGGTGTTCGGTCACTGCGCTCTCTTCTGTGGTCTCATGCCTTGCCTGCCTTACTCATTTACATTGTCTCCAGAAGCCTGTGGACATTAGGCTTATGGCCTGTACATACGTAGTGTATAACTTTATACTTTTGCTCATGTGTTCCAGTTGTGAGTTTCATTATGTCACACTTTACAACCCCAAGTAGCATCCAGAGATGGATTTACTACGAAGCCAATGCAGGAAGCTTTCCCAAGGCTTCAGAACCATTTTTTGTTTCTTTTTCTTGAAGAGACTCCCCCACCCTCTCCCTAGTTGTATAGGTTTCAGGACCCACAAAACCAGATCTGCCTCTGCCAACATGAGGACCACCTATAGACCTTTCTAAAAACATTAAAGGTTCTTAGGTTCTACCTAACCCAGGCCAGTGCAGTTAGAATCTGCGGACAAGGGATGACCCAGGCATCTCTAAATTCTAAACAACTCCTCTGGTGATCATTATGATGCACATACAGGCTTGAGAACCATTGTGTTTTAAAAAGTAATTTACTTGAGCCGTTTATAAACCATTTTAACACTGAAAGGATACATTTTTGGAATCATTTAATATATTTAAACTGTAGTTTGATATATTTTACTGACATGCAGAGCTGAACTGCTTAGGTACCACTGCCAATTGGATTTTAATAGTGAGAAGATATTTCTGAAATTGAAATATGTCAACAGGAAAATTGAAATATGTCAATTAGAAAAATATGTTTCTAATTATCTGGCCTTAGGATATGCAATGTGATTGTAAAAAAAGTAGTTTGCATTTGTTTTTTCAAGAATTTCTGAAGAAGGTTTCTTATATCTGTGAAACTTTTATTCCATTCAGTTTCTGTTATGGTAGAATTTATGTAAATATTTGCTTTTGAAAATATCGAAAGTATAGGTAGAATCACACAGAGATTCTGGAGTCACCATAATGTATGGTAGTGTCACAAGGGAAAATAATATTACAGCCTGACACAGGTACCTGTATCATTGTTTGGAGAGGTTGAACGGTTGGGTGTATTTTTAATTATCATTAAGGATGATTAAGGATGATTAAGGGTGACTCACAACTGGAACACATGAGCAAAAGTATAAAGTCATACACTACGTCTGTACAGGCCATAAGCCTAATGTCCACAGGCTTCTGGAGACAATGTAAATGAGTAAGGCAGGCAAGGCATGAGACCACAGAATGATTAAGGATGAGGGGTGGGTGGCTACTGACCTTTAATAGATAGTGACCAGGGATGCTAGACAACTTTTAGTCCCTGGTATGGTGTCACACCAGGAAGAACTATTCTATAGGCTGCATGACCTTGAATGTACTGTTGGACTTTCACATAGGAGAAAAATATGTTTCTAATTATCTGGCCTTAGGATATGTAAATAAAATGTTTTTTTGCATGGTTTTAAATATCAGTGAGTTTTCTAGGACTGTAACTACCATGTAAATCAAGAGAAGATTATACTTTGTTTTCTTTGCAAATTTACTAAAAAATGTTTACCATTTCAAAGTATCACATCCAAGAAGCAGTGCTCATACTCTGCAGTCACCATTCAGTTCCCCGTGTCGGTTTACACTCGAACCTGGCTTTCAGCACATTTCTCCTTTCAGTCCAAGCAAGTGTACTGACTAATTTGAGCACGTATTTAATGAAATCATTTCAATTTTGTTTGCCCTTTGTGTGAATGGATTATTTTGAATTTTACATTTAGGCAGTTACATTGTTTATGGATTTCACTTTAGGATAATAGATAAGGAAGCATTGCAAAACGTTATGAAAAGGTAGTTTTGCCCTTAAAGAGTTGAGAGTTGCTATTTTAAAGCAATGTTTTTTGAGCATCAGAGCACATTCGATTGTTCTGTAGAAATTCTGAAAATTGATCGTTGTGAAACTGCCCTAAAAATATTAATATAGCAGTTTTCTAGGAAATTCTAGAAACTTCATGAATCTTTTTTACTTCATTGTGCACTTAGAAAATTGCACTCTTTGTATTGCACAGGGAAGTGAAGGAAAACAGAGGCCTCAGGCTGTAGGTGACGGTTTTTGGGGATCCTGGCTGCCTCGGGCCTGCCCTGCCCCACCTTGCAAGCAGAGGATCTACTGCCACCTTTGATGCTTTTCATGCTTGTTAAAAATGCAGATTCTTGAAACTCACCTCAGTAATTCTGATTCTGTTTAACTCAGAAATCTAGTATTGAATGAGCTCCTCAGATGATTCCGATGCAGGTAGTTCTTGGATGGCACTTTGAGCAATCCTGTTCTCACAGGTCAGGGGCAATAACTGCTGTGTCAGAAAAACAAAGAGAACAAGGAAAGTTGGGCTCCTTTCTAAGGGTGTGTGAGGTAATGCTAAGAGATTTCTGAGATAAAGCCGAGATATGAAACTCCTTCCTGGCTGGTGTTTCTCTGACAAGGAGCACAGTGACCTTACTTGAAAGGACAGAACAAACATGGCTAGAAGAAGCTGAAGCCCAGAAAGAGATCCCCTGGCTTCTTTTCTATGAGTTTAAAGTCTGAGGGATAATATTCCAAGAAGCTGAGCATATTTGCAGGTACATTATATGTCCACTTTAGATATTCTTTGAAAATCATGAAGATAGGAACTAACGCTAACGAAAATACAAGACGCAAAACCCTTATCTGTAGGAAGGAGATTTAAGGAAATTGTAGAGACTGGTGAGTTTCAGGGTAGTCTTTAACCAAGTTTGAGAGGATTATTAGAAACAGGAATGCTTTTACACTGTTGGTGGGAGTGTAAATTTAGTTCAACCATTGTGGAAGACAGTGCGGTGATTCCTCAAGGACCTAGAAATAGAAATTCCATTTGACCCAGCAATGCCATTACTGGGTTAATATAATCCAAAGTATTATAAATTATTCTATTACAAAGACACATGCACACATATGTTCATTGTGGCACTGTTTACAATAGCAAAGACCTAGAACCAACCCAAATGCCTATGAATGATAGACTGGACAAGGAAAATGTGGCACATATACACCATGGAATACTATGCAGCCATTAAAAAAAGATGAGGTTGTGTTCTTTGTAGGGACATGGATGAATCTGGAAACCATCATTCTCAGCAAACTGACACAAGAACAGAAAATCAAACACCGCATGTTTTCACTCATAGGAGGGCCTTGAACATGAGAACACATGGACACAAGGGGGGAGCATCACACACTGGGGTCTGTTGGGGGGGAATAAGGGAGGGACAGTGGTGGGTAGGGAAGCTGGGGAGGGATAACGGGGAGAAATGCCAGGTATAGGTGACGGGGGGATGGAGGCAGCAAACCACATTGCCATGTATATACCTATGTATATACCTATGCAACAATCCTGCATGTTCTGCACATGCACCCCAAAATCTAAAGTGCAATAATACATATATATAAAAGTACTGCAAGAGCAGGTAGTTTCCTTGGGTCTGAACTTGCACTTGGGAATGATGGCTGAACAGTGGGAACCAGGGAAGTGGGGGGAGGGTGCCGATCCAGTGCCCTCCCTCCAGGTAGAAGACCAAAAGGGTGGGGTCAGAGGCTTTGAGAGTGGTGTAAGGTTGACAGGTTAGCGGAACTGAAAGCTGTGTAGCATGGCTGGAAACCCACACATTATTCACATTTTCTAAATAGATGTTATTAGAACACAGGTGGGGAAATGCTGATGTTCTGGAAACAGTCCTGGGCAAAGAATCAAGAGGGCTAGGTTTTCATTTATTAATATGTCAGTTACCAGATGCCAAAAACTTCCTTCGGCACATTCCTGAAAGTATTTACTTTTTCAACATGCATTCAATGAATACCTGTATTTGCTGAGCTAGAGAGAGAGAGAGAGATGAAGCATACATCCTGACTGTGAAGTCTGGTTGGAGAAATAGATAAGTAATAAGATGATTCTAACACAATTGATGCCTGCTACAGTAGAGGTAAGAACAGAGGCCTTGGGAGGCTATGAATTTGTGCCTCAGTCAGAATGGAGAGAAGGCTTCTTGGAAGAGGTGACATCTGAGCAGAGTTTTTGCAGATAATTTAGAATGGGTGCTGTGAAGAAAGATGTTTTGACAGTGGCCGAAGCACATATAAAGTTGTGTTGCTGTGCAGACCATGGCATCGTCAGAGCAGCTGGTGTCAAGAGGGAGCAGTGAACTAGAAGACTTCAGTGGGCAGGGACTAGATTATGAATGCTCTTACATGCCATGGGAAAGCATGCTGTAAGTGTGTATTTTATTAATTTTTTTTAGAAAATGGATTGATTCTCCACATTTGGGGTTTAGGAAATCAGTTGGGAAGCAATGTAGAGATATATTCTGGTTATGGAGAGGTAAGATTGGAGGCAGTGAACCTTGTGAGCAAGGTGCACACATATATACATACACCCACACACAAGCCTGCCCACACCCACACACCAGTGGCTTAGAAAAAATAAAAGTTATCCTCCATGAAAGAATTCAGTTAAATGATTCAGAGCTTGTATATTGCTTCCACAGTATCGCAGGTGTTGGCTACTTTGGACTAGTTGGTCTGCCATCCTTCCAGATTTTCTCATCTTCTGATGTGGTTGCTTGAACTCCACATTCCTGAGAGCAGGAAAGCAGGGGGCAGGAATCACAAGGGCAAAGGGCCATGCACTAGCTGTAACATAAGGATATGGTACGTCCTTAACGTCCTTGATAAGTTCTTGGACACTGCAGCTTCAAGCAAAATGTATGGGATGTGTAACAAAACCAATTTTCTTATCAAGATGACAGTGTTATTTGAGGACTTGCTGTAGGTTGTTTTGCTTAAAGTCTTGGTTTCCAAGAGCTAATCTACAATGTTAGGTGAGGACTTGCTTTTATTTTGAAGAAGTTGCAATGGAAGACTTCTAGTTAGAGTTCATTGCCCCTGTGTCATGCCATGATCACATTTACCTGTAAGAGAAAGGTTGAAAATGTATTTATTCAGTGGCCGTGTGCACTGCTAAAAATGGAGGGATTCTATCACTAAGGGAAGGGGAGAAATGGTTAGTGGGGTAAACCATCTGCATCTCTGCCTAAAAGTGGTACAGGAATGCAAGGGACACATAAAGAAGACCTGAGCTGAGACATTGGAGATACGGAAGACGAGACATACTGCAGGGATTGCTGATACTGGTAACTGATTAGATACGGGAAGAAAGGAAGGTGAAGGGGTTGAGGGTGGTTTCTGCTTTGGGCAGAAATGGATGGATGGGAGTGCCCTTCAACATGTAGTGGTTTGAGGGAGGAGCAGGTTTTGGGATGAGGTGGAAGAATGCTGACATTTTGACACATGTTGCATTGGAGATGCCCATGGCATATTCAGATGTAGATATTCAATAGGCTGGTGGGTATTCAGGTCTGGGCTAGGGGGAAGATACTTTATTTTATTTAAACATAAATGTTAAAGGCTTCTCTCCCTTCTTTTCTGTTTTTTTTTTCATTTCCTCCAGCTTTATTAAGATATAATTGGCAAATAAAAATTTTTTATATTTATGGTATACAACATTATATCTTTACATATGTTCATTGCGATATGGTTAAATCAAACTAACATAATCTTTGCCTTACATACTTTTTTGTGATGAAAACATTTAAGATCTACTCCTTTAGCAATTTTCAAATGTATAATACATTATTAATTATGGGCACCATGCTGTCTGACAGATCCCTAGAATTGATTCATCTCATCTAACTGAAATTTTGTACCATTTGACCAACATCTTTTCTTCCTCCTCCTCTGCTGCAGCCCCTGGTAACCATCATTGTACTCTTTGCTACTATGAGCTCCACATTTTAAGATTCTGCATGTAAATAAGATCATGCAGTATTTGTCATTCTGTGCCTGACTTATTTCACTTAGTGCAATGTTCTCCAGGTTCATTTGTTTTGTCACAAATGATGGTCTTTTCTAGCTTATTTTTAAGGCTGTATAGTATTCTGTTGTGTATATATATATGCCACTTTTTTTAATCCATTCATCAATCTATAGACACTGAGTTCAATTTCATATCTTAGCTCTTGTGAATAAACCTGCAAAGAATTTGGGAATACACAGAAATGGGATTGCTGGATCATATGGTAGTTCTATTTTTACTTTTTAAAATGAACTTCCATACTTTTCCACCAACAGTGTACAAAGTCTCCCTTCTTCCCACATGCCTCCAGCATCTGGTACTTTATCTTTTTGATATTAGCCATTCTAACAGGTTCAAGGTGATACCTTACTGTAGTTTTCATTTGCTTTTTCTGGATGATTACTGATGTTCAGTACTTTAAAATTTATCCCTTAGCCATTTGTATGTCTTCCTTTGAAACATGTCTGTTGTAGTCCTTTGCCCATTCTGAAGTTGGTTTACTTGTTTTCTTGCTATTGAGTTGACAAATAAAATGTATACATATTTATATTTTAGATATTAACTGCTTGTAAGATACATGGTTTGCCACGTGTTTACCCAATTCTGTTGGCTGTCTTTTCACCCTGATAAATGTTTTCTCTGCTGTGTGTTAGCTTTTTAGTTTGGCGCAATCCCAATTTTCTGTTTTTTCTTATGTTGCCTGTGTTTTTGGTGTTGTATACAAAAAATCATTGCCTAGACCAATGTCAAGAAGCCTTTTTTCTTATGTTTTATTCTAGTAATTTTATAGTTTCAGTTCATACATTTAACTCTTTAATCCATTTGGAGTTGATTTTTGTATATATTGTGAAATAAGAGTTCAATTTCATTCTTCTGCATGTGGATATTCAGTTTTCCCAGCACCATTCATTGTTGTTCTTTCCCCATTGTGTGTTCTTGATACTTTTGTCAAAGATTAATTGACTATAAATGTAAGGATTTATTTATGAGCTCTCTATTGTGTTCCATTGGTTTAGATTTGTTTTTATTCTAGTATCATGCTGTTTTGGTTACCGTAGTTTCATAGTATATTTTACAGTTAAGTAATGTGGTGTCTCAGCTTTTTTTGTTTTGCACCCAATTGCTTTGGCTATTTGGGGTCTTTTTTGGTACCATATGGATTTAAGAATTGTTTTTCTATCTCTGCAAAAAATGCCATTGGAATATTTATAAGCATTACATTGGATCTGTGGATTGCTTTGGGTAATTGGGACATTTTAACAATTTTTAAAATCTTTGAAGATGGGATATCTTTCCATTTATTTTTGTCACTTCAACTTTTTTCACTAGTTTTATAGTTTTCAGTGTATAGTTCATTCATTTTGGTCAGATTTATTCTGAAGTGTTCTACTTTTTGTAGGTACTGTAAATGCAATTTTTAAAATAACTTTTTTGGATAGTTTCTTATTGTATAGGATTGGTACTGGTTTTTCTATGTTGATTTTGTATCCTGCAACCTTACTAATTTATTAGTTTAACAATTTTTTGGTGGAATCTTTAGGATTTCTATACATAAAATCATGTCAATTGCAAAAAAGGGACTATTTACTTATTCCTTTTCAATTTGGCTGCCTTTTATTTCTTTTTCTTGCTTAATTACTCAGGCTAGGAATTCTAGTTCTGTGTTGACAGAAATGGTGAGAGTAGGCAGCCTGGCCTTGTTTCTTAAGAGTGTGATGTTAGCTGTGGGCTTGTCACATAGGGTCTTTATTATGTTGAGGTACATTCCTTCTTACCTAATTTGTTGAGAGGTTTTTTTTTTTTTAATCATGAAAGGGTCTTAAATTTTCGCAAATGTTCTTTATAAGTCCATTGAGATAATCTTATGATTCCCCATCTGGAAGGGAATGTGTGTGGGCTTGCTATTGGAGCCTTTAGGCAGGCTCATTCCTGGCTCCACTGGGGTTTGCTTAGAGCCTGGATTTTCAGGTTCAAGTCTGGAGCCTGGGTTTACTGTGGTGGGCCTGGATCTTGTGTCTGCTGGGTTGGGCCTAGAGCCTGAGCTTGTGAGGGTAGGCCTGGATCTGCAGGGGCCAGCCTGGTGCTAAGATGGGCTTGGTACCTAGATGCATAGGGATGGGCTAGGAGCCTGAGTTCACAGTGGATGGCCTGGCATTAGGGTGAGTTTAGAGCCTGATTCTGTAGTGGTAATGGGTAGTGTCCTTTGTTTGTGGGACCATTTTGGTACCTGGGCCTGGAGCCTGGGTCCATGAAGTCCAGCCTGATGCTTAGACCCAAGGTTCACTGGGGGCAGGCCTAGATCCTTTGTCCACTGGCACTGGGTCCTGCATGGAGACTGGGTCGCTAGGGATGGGCCTGGGTTCGTGGCAGCTTATGTGACTCTAGGGTCTGCTGGAGCAGGTCTGGACCCTGGGTTCTATAGAGCATGAGGTCCCTGAGGCTGGCCTGGCTCCTGGGAGGCCTGGAGTCTCTATCTGCAACAGCCAGACTTGCTTCTGGGTCTGTGGGTGCGGGTCTGAAGCCTTTGGCTGTTGGGGCTTAGAAGACAATTTAGAAGTGGATATGATTGCCTGGGAATTACGTGGAAAATGAAAAGAAATCAAAAGTTGGCACTCTAAAGAAAAAAATTTGCAGAACAGGCTGGCAAAGTAAGAAATTTAGAAGGATCAACCAGAAATAGAAAAGGGAAGTTTTAACAGAAAGATATTTGGAAAACAAGAGAGAGAGGATTTTCAAAAGGAGGCAGTAATTGCAGAGACATGCCACAGATAAGTCCAGTCTGATAGACTGAAGCATCTAGCAATTAGGAGGTATTGAATGCATTGAAATAGGAGAAGAAGGGAGGGTGTGTGTGTGTGTGTGTGTGTGTGTGTGTGTTTATAAAGTTGTGATTAAATCAAAAATTTATTTTATTTTTTTAATGATCATATGATTGTTGGAATTACTAAGGGTAGATGGTGGCTGTTTCCTAAGTATCTCTAGCAGTGTACTCTCTACCCTCTGGGTGCCTTGCCCCTCAGCATCCCACTTGGGGCTTTGTCACTGGGACAGCATGGTAACTGTTTCTCTCAAACTAACATTCAGGGTGTATTTCCTGCTACATGAGAATGTTTTTGGGGAATAATAGGTAGATATTTAATATAATGGCTGTCACGAACGGGTTTGAAATTTGTGATGAAGCATTAGGGTTCCAGCTGTCACTGATCACCACTTCTCTGAACTTCAACATCAGGCCACCAATAAGAATAAGGGTTCTGGTTGAAACTGAAACAGCCCTGGCCAAATTGTGGAACTAGGTGTGGTGAGTGTCTTCATTTCTTTCAGGAGAATCCTAGCCATAAAGGTATGATACAGTCACAGGCACAAGATGATTTTGAGAAGTTGACTGTCCTTTAATTTTAACCTAATTACAGATATCTAAAGTAAAGATTTCTAGGTTTTCCTTCAAAGAATATAATTTTTTTTTCCTTCTGAAAGCTTAGAAATAAATCTTTAGAAAGTGCAGGTTTGAGTTCAGTTGTTAATACTTAGACAACACTGCCCCCTGGTGGAATGAATCTGCAACACTTTTCAGTAGCTGTTAAAATTGTGAAGTCCTGTTTGACGGTCCTGCCACCAGATTTCCTTCCGAGGGCAGTTAATACTCTTTTGTTCTTTCTGCTTGCTTTAATCTGGAGGTTTGTCAAAATGCCAGCTGTGTACAGATATGCCCTGTTATATCTTAATCTCATTATGATGTTATGAAATAAAGATCTGGGATTTTCATGGCAAAAACTTCTCAGATGTACATTTTGGTAGGGCCCTGAATACAAGATGCGTTAAAAATAATACGTGAAACCTGGTCTAGTGCCTTGATTGTTTTCCTCATGTATAAATTTTTCAAAAACTTCTGAAGAAATCATTCTTATTGGAGGCATAATAATTGAAAGACTATTGTGAAAGATCCTACTTAACTTGGCTGTTTGTGAACTGATAGTTTTTGAGTTGTTTGATTTGTTTTGCTGTGTATTAAATTACGATATAGGCTGATACAATGAGAAGATATTTTTCTTAATT